GTTTTCTAAGTAATTCATGAGATGTGTTAATATGGACAGAAATTGCTGTATTGTTATTTTACGTTACCGTTACCGATGCAAGGAAACGTGCAGTTGTAGCAACAGTAGTTTTATTTATTAATTAAACGCATAGGCGATTTTTGATTGCCTCTTTTGATAAATCTACAATTGAAGTTTGTTATTTCGTACAATTTTAATCTTAAGTGTGGTTTACTAACTTTACCTTTCAGTCGGACTGTCTTTTCATAATATTTTATGATCTAAATATAATTTCTGAAAAGAACGGAAAGGGGGAACATTGTAGAAAATATATAATCATTTCAGGTTGCAAAAGGTATCCGGTAATTTGTTTCAAGCACTTCTCGTTCCCTGTTCAGAAGGGCGCTTTTCCTCGTGCTCCAATCGATTCCTTTCAAGATCTCAAGTTTTGACATTAGTCGACAATCAATTGATGACACTCAAAGTTGGAATCAAGAAGCGACCGGGCCGTGAGCGAAAAATGCGGAGCGCGTGTTAACTGTTCTAGCGTAAATAATGTCCGTACACAATGCGCATCACTCAGAATATTTTGGCGTGTCACATTGTCGTGTGTCCCCTCTATCACAAAGGAATTTACCAGGGAGTACCCGCAATATTGATTTCAAGTCATCGTTTAGCCATCCTACTTTGCAAATAGGTCGCTTCTTCTACAAATAAAATTCGTTTATATGATCAGAAGTGGGAGAAGATACAAATCCCACGTGGGATACCGTAACCCTGTTCTCCTTAATACAGGCAGGTAAAAATGAAGTTTTTTGCGGAATCTTGTGTTTGTTTGCCAACGTTTTCTTAACCTCACATCCTTTTATGTTTTATTTAATGATTTGTTAGTTACTAGAGAATTAATCATTATTTTCTGTTCAGAACATTGAGCGGGTTGGGAATTGTTAGTTCTAGAATGGAGTGTAATGTGAATTTGGTCTTGAATAGTGGGAATGCTGTTGAGGTATTGTTGATGTAATTAAATGAAGGAATAGTTGAAGTAATCTTCGTCAACGTATGGATTTGTATAAAGAACCGACTTTCGACGGTTTACCATCATCATTAGTGTACAAATATAAATTAAATAGAAAATAAATACAAAATAAGATTCTAAGTACAAAGAGGGGATTAATATAAATAATAGACACATAAAATTATAATAATTACAAATCAATAGCCAATCAAATAGAAAAAGATGAGCCGCTTTGCCACCTGGCTGTGTCGCAAAAGTCGGGAGACTGCGCCTTGAAACTGGGTTTAAAGGGAATGCTTATGAGGTAATGTTGAGGTAATTGAATGATGAATTAATTGAAGTCTTATCCGTCAACTTAATGAATTTATGTAGAAGTGAATTTGTGGGATTATTAAACCCCGTTTCAAAATAGACCGATAACGGTTAAGCCTTCGAAAGCCGACTCTAAATAAATCCGTTAAGTTGACGGAGATAACTTCAGTCATTTCAGCATTACTTAGTTTTGCTTCCACTGCAGCTGCAGTGTGTTGCTTTTATCTATTGCTAGTACTACTCTACACTCCTCAGCTCAGGATGCAACTATGTGGGCTAAGAGTGTAGTAGAAATTAAGTCACAGGCAGAAAAAGTGCTTAATAGTTTTCGATGTAAGATCTCATTTCGACTGTAATACATTTAAGTGTTCCCTGCTTACAGATTTGCTTAAGCGAAAATACATTTGTTTACAGTTGGAATGATTGTGGAGTAGCATTCTTTGCTGTTTACTTTACATTTTTGTACATGTTAAAAACGATCTTTTTTTCTTAATTTGGTATTCAAGAAAGCAAATCCTGTTGTCCTTCCCAAGTTGGCACTGTGCCCAAACTGCGCATGTGTGTCACTATAACATCACACCAATTTATTTTTCACATTTTGAGGGTCGGTGATTACCAAAATGGTTTGCTATTTGGCCGTTCGTTATCGGCCATTTGTTCATTACCACGAGTGCTCCGATAAGACAACACCAAGAACGAACGGTAATAACCTAATAACCTTTGGACGTTTGACTCCATTCAGTTTCGATGTAAATTCTTGCATATTGTTTTAAAGCACTTTCATTGTGTTTGTTTCGTTACGTTATTTATAATCTAATTACTTTTCGTATACCAAAATATTTTTGATCTGATGTTCTCTTCACTGGAGGAACTGCCTCTTCGACCCAGCACATGCCTCTGCAAGTGTTTCCAACCCGCAAAAGATACAGTTTTAATACAGTATTTCCCCGCAATAATATTGAGATTTGAGCGTAGGATTCTTCACTCAACGCTCTTATCCATTATGCTTCTGTAGTAATTCGGTGTTCCCGTGGTCATGATTCATAAAAACAAAGCCCTTCTCTAGTTGTTTGAAAATTCAAATATATTAATTAAGATGTCATAAAATTCAGTGCATTGTGATCTATTTTATAAACAAAAATTAAAGAAAATACTTGAAGCAGTTATTAAAAAAATTTCTTTACATATTTTCATTGCATTCATTATCAAAATTTCATTGCAGAATAAACTGTATAAGAAAGAAATCTGTAACATCAATAACTTTTGCAATTTTTGATATTTCAGAGGTTTTAATGAAATTCAGCTTACGTCATTTTATTAATTTTACTCGTCTCTATGTGAGTCTCTATGTAAAGAAAACAATTGGTGTCAATTTTCACGAAAACATTGAGAAAGTTCTAAGGGTTTTTCGTAAAGTACCGCCATATGTTTAAAAGGTAAGTTTCTAAGGACCATATGTGCTGCTAGATCTATCAGACAATAAAAATTTTTGGGAAAAGTCCTGTACAGATTAAGTTTAGACGGACGGACAGGAAAACGCTTACGTAATAGAAAACCACATTTCACTCATTTTTAGGGGCCTAAATATTTTGTCATATTTTTGTATTATATACTTATATTAATTTTATATTATTATCATAAATATTTGACAGTGGAGCTTTTTTCAACTACTTTCTTAACATTAAGAAGGTGAAACAGGGGATGCGTTTTAGATGATAGATTAAAATGTGGAAATACATATTTTGTAGATTTTTTATTGTCATTTCTGTAAAATACCAATATTATGTACTCAAATTTGGGGCGTTGTAGAAAATCAAGAACGTAGCATCTAGACAGAATTAAATTGCCGTTCTTTGGAGATTCGTCTGTTAATATGCCCTCGTGGACCTGTAATCTGCATTGTACTGTATCGATTGTGAGCTTTTTTGGTGTGTCGGAAAAGGGAAAGGATGGCAATACGGGGAAAATGTGATAGCTCAACTGCTTTAAGTTTAAATGTTATTTCTACTGAAACGCTCGGAAGACAGTTTATAATTTTCGACATTAATGTACAGTTTTATTACATTTATCAGGGTACAAATGAATCCTGTCATTACGGAGATAGCTGTTTTAGCATAAAATCACTTACGTGTCTGCAGTGTGTGTGATTGAGGCTCTTTAATGTTTCTTTTTCGGAGATTTTTTTGTTTTAATTTATATTTATTTATCATGTGAGATACTGTTGTGAATGTTTTTCTCGTTCAGTTCAAGATAAGTGATAAACTTACGTAAGACTTTTATGAATTCCCGTATTGAGAGTGCATTGGAGTGGTGGTCGAATAGCCCTGACGGCGATAGCAAAATTCCCGACTGGCTAATTGGCCTCCTCCCGCCTTTCCCCGGGACACGTCCGCGCAACGGCACGCCGCCGCTTCGCGTCGATAAGCTCTCCCCCGCCCCCAACCCCGCTCCCACCCGCGCTCCAGCTTGCCCGCCGCAGCGGTTCTCGACTTTCAGGAATGAGCGCCAGGGATTCGGCCGGAAGAACGGGCGCCTTGAATGGCGGTTGTGGGCGAAGGAGCCGGCCGAGTGGAAAGGCTGTGAATAAACGTGCGATTGGATAGGGCTGGGAGGCATCCGAGAAGCCGGTAAGAGAAATCAGTAGGCGTTGCGTAGCCCGGACCTGCCTCCACCGCGTGGCGTCCGCGAACGGCGCGCGGCGTTGGGCGGCCGACCTTGGGCGGCGGTGGCCGCGGCCGCGGCCGCGGGCGGGGGCGGGACCGCGCGGGCCGGCAGCAAAGCAACCTCTACCGCCGCCGCCGCTTTCACCGCCTCCACCAGCGCACCCCGACGGCCGTGCGGGCGGGCGGGGCCGTCGACCTCGAGCTGCGAGCGCGAGGCGAACGATTCAGGCCCTGCGGCGACGGAGGTGGAGGCGACCTGCCCGGCCCGGCTGGAGCCGCTGCTCCCGTTAGCGCCACTCGCTCGCCCTCGCCGCCGCCGCCGTCTCGGCGTAGGTAGCTCACCTGCCCGCGCCGGGGCTCGCTCCACGGCCCGGCCGCCACCACCGCAGCCGTTGCGCAACGCAGCCGCGCGGCGCGGAGCAGCGGGCGCGACGGCGGCGGCGGCGGCGCGTGCGGTGGCGGCCGCCGATAGGCGATAGCACCGTGATTGCGGCCACGTGCGCGGTGCCGCCGCGGCCCAGATTCCGAGGCCGCCCCGCTCCCTATCCCCGCCCCGCTTCTGGATCGTTCGTTCCGAGGCGACACCTTCCGTAGGTGAAACGCCCTAATCTCGCCTTCTGTATTTCCGGGCTCGCAGCGCGACGGACTGCCGCTAGAGACCACTCAGGACGCTGTGTATCGTCTTTCGCCGTCTGCTCTCATCAGCCAACCTCTTCACTGCACTTATCTCCCTCCACTTACATCATACCCCATCGGTAGCCCCAGCGTTCTCGAGTGGTCGAAGAGCGCGGCGCAGCGTTGCGCAGGGCGGGTGACGGGGGTGGCTGCTGAGCCCAGCACCTTTTTGCTGGGGGACGCGCAAGCGATACAGGGGCCATCGCCTCCGCGACCGTGGCCCAGTGGCGATAAACGAGACCTCTGGTGCCTCGCGCCCGCCCCTCCCCCCTCCCCCTCGCGCGTCACTGCCAAGGCCTCGCGGCGCGCCATCTTCCTCGCCACCCTCCGCCTGCATCGCCAGTTCAGCCACCGCCATGGGTCCACCGCCCTTCGCTAAACTCACACTTTGCCCCCAAGTTATTACATTATTAACTATATTACGTAAATGAAATGCGTAGAATGTTGAAACTCAATTGTATTAACCATCCTCCGTCGTTGCTCCTGCAGAGGTCGCAGTCACCTCCTCTAGACGTTCTTGTTTGATGGAAGGTATTTGTAAAGGTGGTTCGTACCGTTCAGGCTTCTCCGCAGTCTCCCAAAGCAACCCGCGCTCGCGTTGTGCGGCGGCAGTTCTTTGCTGAGCGCGTTTGCGGGCCATCGCTGCCTGCCTCGGTTTCCGCCCCGTGGCTTCTTTTTGCGCGGGCCAGAGGGCACCTCCCTCGCTCCCTCCCTCCGTCGCCGCGCGGATCTTCTTTCTCCACGGGGCAGTTGAGCTGTTAGCTTGAGGAAGGCGTACAAACGAAGACAGTTGTTGGAAACAATTTAATTGGGACAGCGGGTGAGAAGTATTTGCATGCTAGTTAATAATCTGAAATGGGTTTTTGAAAGGAGAGAGACGGCAATGCGTTCTTTCGAATTTGAGATATTTTAAAGGACAACCGAAGTCGCTAAAATTATATGCCAGTGAAGAATGGAGAATTAAAAAGCAGAGTATTTTTTCTAAACCTTTATTTGCAATCTCTCCTCGCTCTGCCGTGTTCTAGGCGCCTTTTCAACGTATCCCTCCCTTTCTGGCTCATTCCTTCCTTGATCCTTTTCCTCTCCTGGCCTGTTGCGCTCTTCATGAGCTTTTCGGTGGTCGGATTTCTCTCCTACTAGGGCTGAGTTCGGAGGTTGCACTCATAGAATCGACGAGTTTCTTTAGTACTTCCTGAACTGCTAAAAGAAAAAGGAAATAGCTGTCGAAATTTTACTGAATTATATGATTGCCACTACAATACATGAGTATCGTGATTGCACGACTGGCTGGCCATTCGTAGACCATTACTTTTCCGCTGTTTTGAGGACGGGGACGTTCAACTGTTCTGCCGCAAATCAGCGTTTATCCCGGGTCCTTTTTTCTATTGCGTGATACAGGGAAGAGGAAAAAGGTGTAGGAAACTGATTGTTTCAAAGTAATCTGATTTGCTAGATATAATGAGAGAAATTATGACCTCATAGAATGTTGTTTCGCGGATTGATTGAAGAATCAGTGGCAAATGGGGTGAGACAATTTCGGTGCTGCCGCCTAACCTAGAATCTGTAAAAATATGGAGAGGGGGGTGGCACCAATTCTGATTCATAAGAAAAATCATTACGAAATATACAAATAAAGTAAGTACCCTTTTCAAAAGAATCGTAAAATTGTGACAGTATATAAACTCTTATTGTTTAATATTTTTTCTCCAAATTCAAATCAAACTCAAAATTATCATGTTTAGACGGCAATAGTTATATTTTTATAGATTTTAGTATATTTTTATAGATGTTTTAAATTTTTCCTCTGGTGTCCAATGTGCGGTTTCAGCTTAATTCTTATATGGATCGTGTGTCAAAATAGTCTTCCCATTATTACAATCCTGACATTTTATTTTACTTCTTTCTGCTCTGATATTGGGTAATTATATTTTCAGGGCTCACTGTGAAACCTGCATTAGTGTTTTTTACTTTCTCGCATATTACTTACATAGTACGAAATATTGTAATGCTGTGGCAGAAAACTGTTATTCTTCGACGAAGAAACAGGTATTATGAGGTCCTGAGGTCGAAAAAAATTAATGGTCTACCCAAATGAAAAAAAACTAATTTCTGTTACACGTGTTACTTATGTGGTATAGAGAAATTATTGTAATGCTGCAGGAAATAACTGAGTTTTTTCGACGAAGAAATTGTATGGTGGGGCTCTGGTATCGAATAAGTGGATAAATCTTGTTCTTATTAGTGATGTAACATCGAAAACAAAACATCGATGTTCAAAATACATCGACTAAAAACTATCGATGTTTTGTATCAACGATGTTTTCAAGCTGGTTTAGTCGACTCTAATATTGAATCCGTGTGCATCAAATTTTAATTGTCTGGGTCCATGTTTACCAATTTGCCGAATAGGAGGCAGATCCTTCGCCCACAGCGTATGTGTTGACCCTATCTCAATGTGCGAAAGAAATATGAAGAAGAAATACAGGGCATGGAGATCATTTCAGGCCAAAGTGTTTGGTTCATGAAGGTAGTGCCAACAGCGTCCTATTCGTTCTTACAGGGTTACTTTTTGTTATTATTTCATATTTTAACGTAAACAATATAGTGATCATGGGATTTTTTCATTCAAAAACAAAACATCGATCATATAACATCGGTGTTAATACATTGATGTTTGGAAACTTCGACATCGATGTTGCATCCCTAAGGGCTGGTTTCACCAACAGCCGAGTAAAGTTGAGAGTAGTTACCCGATAGTAACCATTTACTCCAGGATAGTAACTCTCGAGTAGAATATGATCGTTTCACTGTGCTTCTAGAGAGTTATTTTACTCTAGAGTACATACTCTCCTTTTTACTCAGCAAATCAGCTCAACACACAATATTTGAGAGCGATTTAAGCGGCTATGAGCGAGAATGACACTGGGAACCAATGCGGAGCAACGTGAACCTTTGATTAATTCCTTGTATTCTATCATTCATTTCAGTTTCGGAGTTCTTGGCATTATAATTTGGTGTGGTGTTATGATGGTTTGAATTAGCATAGTTTATTTCCTAGTTTTTGTATTTTTATTTCTTAATAAATATTCATTCTTCTTCTCTGGGGACAAATTACTATTTTGTTCGCAATGCAGAAAAATCTAATTTGCAGTTTGTTTACCGATGGCGGTACAAATGAATTTTCTATAACTAGGGAACGAAAATGTTTAGTTTTTCAAATGTTGCTGATCTCGTGTTTTTCTAAATTTTATTATTATATGTTGATTTATTTTTAAAACTTTTATTCATCTTTCAACTTTCTCGTTAAAATGTTGGAAAGGGATTCTGAAACTCAAGTAAACGTGCGCAAATGATCTCCCCCATTCGTCACATACAATTTTTACTGAATAAATAAATGAATATTTCTTAGTACTTGTGATTCCTGAAGTTATTACTTTTCCTTTTGTTGTAGTCGGTACGTACTACCTTTATTTAGTATCCACATGAGACAAAAAGAACTTTAGATGTTCTCTACAGTTTACAATGTGTCTGATGAAGTTAAACAGCTGATTTGGTCAAACTTAACCTCATGACAAAAATCTCGATCGTCATAATTAAAGCCAATCCATTCTCTCTCGCACCCTATATCGTCGCACTAGTGGATAATATTCCGAATCATTGCTGGAATCGTCTTCAAATACTAGCATTAGTAATCGTCAAACCGTAACAACACTTCGGAGGTACATGCACGTTGAAAACTGAGTTTACTCCGTACTTTACCCGACGGATTTTCGCGGTGTAAAGTTACTCTCGAATTTACTCTCGTGTAAGCGATTTACACTCGAGTAAAGTGTTGGTGAAACGCTCCAAGAGTTACTCTCGAGTAAACATGATTTACTCCAGAGTAAAATCTTACTCTTTGTTTGATGAAACCGGCACTAAATCCTATATGTAGTAAATTACCTACTTTCTGTAACGCGAATAGACAGAATCCACTATTGATGGTTCCTTGACACAAAAAACTTGCTGGACAGCATAACGCCCGTCCATGGTTAACTCTAGCGCCCGAACTGTTCAGACTATTTTCTTCAAAATTGATACTCCCATCGATTTAGCAGAACTTAAGGTCCTCTAAATTAAAAAAAAATCTGAACTTACTTTACGTAAAGTTCAATTTTCAAAATTGTCTTTCACAATTTTGATTTTTTTTTTTTCTTTCTTCCATAGTATTTTTTGGAGGTTGTAAAACATTAACATCGAAAAACAATTATTGATGGTATATTTTTTCCTCAAAAAATGTGTTCTAAACAATTATATCTTTAAATAATGTTATGTACGATGTTTGAAAAACCGAGTGGTTTTCGGGCACATTTCGTTTGAAGTAAAGGTAATTTATAAAATAATGCTCCATTTTTTTTCTTTGGAGAGAGAAAGAGACGCTTAAACAATAATTCAGGTCTTATTTTCGTTGAATTCTGAATTTTCAAAAATTGCAAACGTTGCTAACATGGCAAGACTTTGTGTGCTGTTGTAACATCATTAATTTTCATTTGTGTATGACTTCTGAGCATAGCCTCTTTAGCATTTGCTCTATTCGCTGAACATATGTAATAATTTTTAAGAAAAAAATGAATGAAAGGCTAAATTCCTGGGTGCATTATGTTCGTAGTTAAAAAATTGTCCAGCCAATTTATCAACCTACTCTTTCAGTGTAAACTTGTATCAGAGACGCGACAAGTATCGCTATATGTACTTCGATTCCATTATCTCAGTACTTACTAATAAATTATTTGAAATTAGCATAATTATTTTTAAAGATGGAGGTGTTATGAAAATCGCAAAAGCTAAATTGAAGAAAAGGAAAATTGCTTCATTAATCAACTGCAAAAATGAAGTCGTTAATATCAACAAATCATATAAAGCGTATGATTTATCAAAGACTTACTTTCTATGTAAAAATAACTTGCGTGCCTAGTGTCGAAACTTCAGATAGTTGATCCTGATAAAGTAATATTTTCGATGGAAAGGAAATAGGACTGCCAAAGCCAACTCAGCATACGAGAATATTTCCTAGTCTGAGAATATTACATTTGGGTCGTGTAATGTAATTTGCCCTCCATTCTTTAACCGAAATGAAACATGTTCTTCTGTCTTGCTTTTACCTGCGTTCTGGCAACACCCATACTCTCCATCTTCTACACACACCATGAACGAGCACGACCACCCAACAACACCATTTATCACATCTTCCCACCCGGAAGGAAAATATCTCTTCTGTCCCCTCCCTAGTAGGACGAGTGCCCACTACACCCTGAAAAGGACGGCGAGGGGGAGGGGGTTGACGGCGCCTTGCCGGGTAACCCGCGCGGGGTGGGGCGGCGATTCCAGGTCAAGGGAGGGCCGCGCGGACTGCTCGCCGCTCTGCTTCTACCTCGATGGCCAGTGCGTTGTGAAATGCGGAGGACGTAGTAGCCGGTGGCGATATTGACATTTCCCTGTGGTCTCTCAGCTCGTATTCAGCCTCTGTGAAAGTAAGTATACTATTTGAAAGGTTTGCCCTAATGAGATGTATTGTTTGGGCTAGATACGTAGAGTTTAGCTGAAAACGTATTTGTTAATATTTTAATGTGTACATAAGAAGATGTAGTGAAATGTTTGTGTCGGTGTGCTGGTTGTGTTCGTTTGACATTTCTCAATCGCGCGGTCTCTACTGAGTTGACGGACTTGGGTCTTGCTTGGAAGTGGGTGGTGGGAGATAGACGACCTTCAAAACCAATTTGTGGAACAGTGACTTAATGTGTTGACGTACTTTGATGTGAAAATTATTAATGTAAATAGCTGCAGTATACGAATACACCTGATAGTTGTCAGATGTATGCCACATTTTGAGATACGAAATGCAAGAACTTACATCGTACGCTGTGTTAAACTCTCGAAGTTCGTAACACGTAAACACTTGAAATTCCGAACGTAGGTGTAGAATATTCCATTTTTGGATAAAGAAGTAGATGTGATAATATCAGAGATAAATTATTGCCGTGATATGTTCATTAAAAGTATGAAGGGAGACAATGTGACACAAGGAAAGGAACACAGTGTTCATATTACGACACAAAGAATGAAAATAGTAGAAACTTCAGCTTTCTTCCGTGTGCGGTATGCAGGTTTCACGGCGTGGTGTAATAATTTTTAGCAACATAGGTTAAATTTGTGGTGTTCATGGAGTTCTCTCAGAGATAAACAACAATGGCGTGATGGTCGCTTATGAAAATGCCTGTTCGATGTATTAGCAGATACAATTCGCCTATTTGTTCCGCACGTGAAGTTTTGTTATCGACGTATTGCTGTGAATGTTTCATGTTTAGACAGCCTGTTATCCATTGTATTGGCGACCGCGTCACATCAGTGCGTCGAGTGTTTTCCGAACGCGGAGCTGTGAGTTGACAGACTTGTCAGCATAGCCCCACAATTGCAGATAACGGTTCTCGAGTGACCGATTCATATCATTGCGAATATCTCAATAAAGACCCATGAAACAATCAAGGACATCTGATTCTGAGATGCTCTTTCCCGATGATGGAGACTGTAAATCTTGAAAATACGTTTCAATATTACCTTGTAATGATTGAGTAGAACCTATAGTGTATGTGCTTTCCCTGAGATGATATCTATGGAGATGACTATTTCAGTAGTGTTGAAGTGTGGCTTTGTGTTATTTAGCTTTTTTATTTTATTATTATTATTATTATTATTATTATTATTATTATTAAGCTTGAAGACGAAAGAAATAATCTGAATAATAGATTATTGAAAATTATAGGTATATTTAACAACTTAATGTAAAATGACAATCGACTTTTATAATTGTTGAAATTAGAGTACATAAATGTCTCTTAGGAATACACACATGCAAACAGTATATCGAAGTTCAAACATTGTTTAATGCATTTTCCTGTGAAACTAGTGAAAAATCCTTAAGAAAGCTGTAAAATTCATCTGGCTACTCTTTGTTACATGTCATTTATGCCTCGTGTAACCGTATACATGTCATCAACTAACCATGAACCGAAATTGAATTTATCCCAATAGCCGTAAGTGACATCACGCACCTTTATTATATTCCTTACACTTATTTTCACGTTCGTTCTTTCGAAATGTATGTATGATCTGGATCCTCGACGTAGAGGTGCGCGAGGGAAAGCAACAATCCACACAGAAGAAAATATTTTTACAGCTGGTTTCTTACGATGCGTGCGAAATCCACATGTCTGTGTGTACTTAATGATGCAGTGTAAATGGAGCGCTATTTCGGGCGAAATGGTTGAGTAGCAGCAGTGCGAGTTGCGAACGGCGTGTTCAAAGCGAGCGGGCGGTCGCCCCCGCCTCGTCCCGCGCCGCCCACGCACGGGTGGGTGGGCTCTGCGATGGCTGGCAGGGAGCCGGCGCGGCTCAGGGGCGCTCCTAGCGGCGAACGCGCTCGGCTCGCGACAGCGGAGGCGGCAGCGCGGAGCGAAGCGGCCACGTGGTGAGTGCGCGCAGCGGAGCCGAGCGGAGCGGACGGACCCCTCTGCGCGCGTCACCGCCGCCGCCGCTGCCGCCACCCCCGCTGCCAGCGCCGCGGATTACTGCTCCACCCTCAGACCGGGCGTCGTGCCCAGCGGTCGCGCCGTCGCGCAGCGCCCGCGCCGCGCGCCCTCGCAGCGTCGGGAAGAACCTGCCGTCGCCGTGGTGCCTAGCCCCGCCGCCGCTGCCGTCGCGCCTGCAGCCGCGCCGCTCGCCGCGGCGCCGGCCGCCCCCCATGGCTCGTGAGAAGCGTGCGGCCGCACCGCCGCACGGCCGCCCCTAGCTCGTGTGCGCGTGTGCCGTGCGGAGGCCCCCGCTGGCACGTGCGCGTCCGCGCGAAGCTCGTTGCGCAGTCGGGCCGCGCGCGAGGGCGAGAGGGTGGCATGGGCGGCGACGGACGGGCGGCGGGGTCGCCGCCCCGAGCGGGCGGGGCTGCTTCCCCGGGCGCCACCCCCGCCGCCCATCTGGAAGCTTCGGCTGGCCGCCGCCGCGTGCGCGGCGCCGGCGCCGCGCCGACCACGCGCCGCCGCCGCCAGCGGGCTGCCCCTGGCATTCCACGCCTCTCGCTTTCTCGCCCGGCCCACCCGCCCACCCGCGGGGCGCCCGCTCAGCGAACTCTCAATCAGCACATTTTAGATCCGCCCTCACGCTTTTCGAGTCTTGCATGCGTAGCGCACTGTAGCAATCGATGTTCTTGCAGTGAGTGGAGTATGTGTATGTGGAATGCCTTGATGTCGCTTTACGTCTTTGCGATACTGAGAATGATTTCTGTCCTTGTAATGAAATCGCGTGCATTTTATGAATTTATAACCCATAGGGTGGGAATTCGCGGAGGGTATTATCTTCGCAAAAGTTGAAACGTAAATTGCAAAAACCCGCAGTGTTCCGTAAACGCCTTGAGACATAGTGCGAAAGCATTATCGAGAATGTCTCGTCTTTGATTCCTGTATAAGAGAAAACATTCGGCTTCGTGGTATCTATAACACGCGATGTATGTTTGCCGACGAGTGATAGCGGAGCCTGATAGGCGATGCATGAATTAGAGAAGTCGCCCGCAATCTCGGGAGTTGTTAGTGTGGCGTACGAGACGATTCGACTAGGACACGGGAGGGGGCGGGGCGGAAGAAGGAAGTGGGAGGGAGGAAGCGGTTGTAGTGAGGCGGCGCGTGTTCGACCAGGTCAGTGCGAGGGATCGGCGTGGAGGCTGTCTGGCCGCCCGCCCGCGCCGTGGCCCTCCGGCTGCCTGCGTGCCTGCTTGCTTGCCTTGCTCGCCTTGCTCTGGCTGGTCACGCTCGGCGCTTGTACAGGACCGCGCGGGCGGAGCATGACGGACAGGCACGCGGGGGCCGGCTCTGCGGGTGCTGCTGCTGCAGCTGCTGCTGGGCGCCATCTCGGGCGTTGAAGAGCAAAACGAAAAATCAATTTGCGACTCGATTTTGGCGCGGGGGGAACGCAGGGGAGGCGTGTAAAAAAGAATCTACTATTCATCGACCGTTCATTAACGTAATTTTTCTTCTCCTTTTGACCCAGTAAATGATTTCTTTTTGTATATCTATTGCGTACTATTAGATCCTGTTGAAATTATCCGTTGGGTAGTCTAACGTGGCGTAGAAAATAGACCGGTTTTGATGTTGAGTGTCGTCGTGTCAAACTGTTAGTAATTTAATTTGCGACGAGTATTCATGGGTAGGGGGAATGGCGACGAACAGCCACCGGCTCCCGCAGTCAGGAAATCGGATGTACCTTACCCATTCGCATGGTGCAATTGTTAGAATACGTATGGCTAATGCGGATATACACCGTGAAAGATTTTTACATTTTTCTTTGTAAGAATTGAATTGCATAAATAGTATTTCCTTTCCTCTTTTCTGAAAACGGCGTAATAGTTAGGTTGCGGTTAAATCGAACTGTCTCGTGACATGTAATTGTTTCTGATGGTTTTCATTATCTTCGTCCTCCAAGAATTTTGCGGTTGTGAATTGTACAACTCCTTGCGTGGTACTCGCTTGATTACGTTTATCTCGTTTTCATGACAGGCTCGCCGTTGTGTAAAAATTATTTCATGTTGCTAAATGTTTTTGTTATTGTATGTCCATAATAGGTTAGGCGTGTGGCAATACGGGAATCCAATTATTGAAACGTGAACTCGTTTACGGATATCATGAGAAATTAGTTTTATGTTAAGCTCTGAGAAAATTACAATTAACTGTTCGATGTAATTTCTAATCTTATTATACCTCTATATATTAGCTTTATTATACTGTCGCTGACACCGTTTCTTAGAATGCTGTGTAGCTGAAATAGGTTGTGAACCGAGAGCGGTGTAGCTCGCATGTAGCGCGTGGTGGGAGCGATGATTGATCCGCGGATCTGTCGTTTGTCCCTGACTTGTATTAACAGCCCCTCCCGCCTGCGAGTGAGAGTCGCGAGATGTCTGACCGCCCGGGGGCGGGGCGGGGCGCTCCCGCTGCCGTGGCGTAATCGGCCGGAGGGCGAGCGGGCGTGCGTGCGAAGGGGGGCAATGGCAGGCTGCGTTCGGGGGGGGGAGGGGATCAAGTCGATCGCGAGCGGGCGGGCGCGCCTGTGACGTCACGCCCTCTGCATCCGCCATGTGCTTGCTTGGGCTCCTCCGATTTCTTGCGGGGAAACGTGTGGAGTAGGAAGTGCGAAATAACTAACTGCTTTGCCCAGGACTCGAACTTCGTCTTTCGCAACAATCTTCACAGAATGTTAAGCGCGTTCTTTCTGAACATTTGGGTTGTGAAATCTATCACTCTCCTTACCTAAATTGCTTGATTGGTTTCAACGAGGAACGTCTAAGATGAATCATAATAATTTATTGTTGGTGCCACAGACGCCCTGCAGGATCTAGTTTTCCCTTGACCCATGTCATAATTATTGCGTTCGTTGTTTCTGCTGTTTATTATGCAGATATGATTAGTGTATCTTCATTAAAATAAATAAGGTGAACTATTCTAGACTCTAAAATTATTTTGGCCAATTGTAACTTTTTATACATTCCTCCAATTTCAGATGGTATTGTGTTGTCATTTTTGAAACTTCATATTTTCCCCATTTTTAGATTGCCAAATGTATTATGTATATATCTCTGCCTTCTATTACAATTTATATTCCGCTTTAACATGATTTTAATTGGGTCGTTTCGGGTAAATACCTGGACTCTTATCGTAATTCGTTAAAGTCCTAGCTGCCACTCGTTGCCCAATTAATTTTGTGATGCAGAAAAATGAAAAAGACTAGTGCGAGATGGCTGAATAGAGCAGTTGCCAACATTTATCTGCACATTGTGAAAGAATGTCTCAGGCGTTTATCGTGGTTTTGGAATTACGGAAGAGTGTGTGTTCGTGTTCATTGTATGTCGACATTTTTTGTAAGAAATGTATATTGAAGTCTACGTAAATAGACATCGTAAGAGAACAAATCGTATATTCTGTAGAATATAGGATTCGTGTATTTGAATAGTTTCTGCCTTCTGCGAGTGAATTTGTTTGGAAAAATCATATTTCATTTGGGCGTTATCGATCATGGCATTTTAATTGATATTTTAAAATTAAAATTACTCTCATTTAAGATGGATAAGTGATAATCGTTAAGTCAGTTAAATATTTTTTTTTCTGCCAATTTACATTTAAGTGTGATTCTGCATTACCTGTATTTCACACTTGATGAGGGGATCGTGCCACTCGCATAATACGAGAGTAAATGCTCATTATGACATCGACTTGGAGTAATTATATATAAATGCCTCAATGACAAATTGAAGCAACAATAAAATATTTCTTAAAAAAAGGTCATGTAACATCATTTCATTTCGTCCAAAGCTCTTCTGCGAATTGGACAAAAGGAGATGCACAACCCCATTCCCCTTTTGAGTTCAAGTGATGGCACGACAGTGCGCGCTATTATTCAGCTATTTTGTCGGAAGTCCTCTGAAATGTGACATGAACGGAGCATTGACGTCATGTTGGTCACGATAGCTCCAGTTTCCTATTAAAAGTCATCCTATTAACCATTCAATACCTTTGCATTATTTAACTCTCAGTTAAACGTTTACCACCACAATTAATATCTTCGAGATATTTCGGCAACTTGCATTGATTGAATTATGACAAATATTAATTTAATATTTGTCAAGATGTTTCGTCAAAATACGTGATTTTCCTGGTTGAGAAAAAAGTTACATTGACAGGTTTAGTTTACGGTTGTGAAGTGAGAAAACAATTGACGTAGGAACAATTACATTTGTAAAATTTAGCTTTTAAACAAAATATTGAGATTGTTGTTAAATGAACTGTCGTATGTGTAAAAAAATTCTTTAAAGGAAATTACTTTGATCAGAATAAAATAATTTTTTATTCCTCAGTACCATTTAAAAAACTATTTACTGTAGTGGTAAGTTGTAAATCTGAATGAAGGCACCGTAACAACTTCAGATCAAAGTGAAGAGAGTTCCTGCCAATCGGCTCGACATTCTTGATGTCCTGAACTTGTATGTCAGTTCTCAAGGGTTTCTTTGTCAAAATCTTTTGTTTGCAGCGTCTTGGGGGTTCTGTACTAAATTTTCTATTCCCAATAGCTGTAAAAAAAATGCAAAACAAAAATATTATTTGAAAGACGGCAGTATAGTTTGCACGTAGTATGCATTCTTTACATGCGCGTTGCGTCGAAGCCTTTGAGGCTACATGCCCGGTTCGGGCCGTGCGAGCGAGCAGCCCGCAGCACGGGCGAGCTCTTCGCTCGGCGGCAGCCGGCGCGTCGGTCAGAAATAGGCGGCAGGTGAACAGCCCGCGGGGGCCGCCCCCGCCCAAATCCACCTCTACCCCACCCCACCACCGCCTCCGCCCCGCCTCGCCCCCCGCCCCTGCTTCGCAGCCGCTCCACTGCCCTTTGTCTGCGTCTCCACCTTCTGGCATTCAATGAGACGCCCGGCCAACGCTCGCGCCTCTCAGCAAAGGAACACAGAAAGTAGAAAACGACACGTAATGCAGCCTTAAAAATGAATTTTTGTTAGTTATTTTTCTAAGAAATCAAATTGAGGCTTGTGACTGACATTGGGGAATATTTACTCATAGTTACTGTAGTAGGATTGTATTATGAAATTCTGAATTTTCCAGTGAACTAAGTCGCTCGCATTGTGTTACACTTGATATCGTATTTCACTTCTCTTGGTTTTGTAGACTTAAGAGTGATTTCAGTCTCTCCATTATGTGGAGTCAAATTCTAAG